CGCCGCCCTGCCGCCACGGGCCCCGCCGCAGAGGCGCCGAGCCCGGGGCACTGGGGCGGCGGCGGAGGGTAGCCGGCGCGCGCTGCCGAGGCCCTGCACTGCTCGGCCGCCCGCCGCTCCCGCCTCGCGCGGGCGCGGGCCGCTGGCGGCGCGGGAGCGCGGCGAACGGCAGAAGCGGCGAAGCCCAGGAAGGGTGAGGGCGCCGCCGGCCGCTGCTAGTGCTAGGCGGTACACCGGACATGCTGGGGTGCTCGATGAGGCAGGTCCCTCAGCGGGAGAGTCTCCTCTCCGCGGCGCTGCAAGCACTCGCGTTCGCAGCCGTAAGCCTGTGGACTGCATCGAAAAACGACATCACACAGTTCCAACAGCCCTGGAGGAGCGGTCCTCGCCTGGCAAGGCGGCGCTGCGCGGGAGATAGTTAGGATCAGTCTCGCTCCGTCACCTGGCCACTCTGTAGAGGGAATTCAGTAGGCGGCGAGGGGCAGGAGTGTCCAAAAGGGCCAAAAAACCAGTTAACGACTAGCATCGGTATTTGGGTATGTGTCAATGTGGGGGAATCAACGCGTCGTTCTTCAACTACAAAATCTCTTCCAGCTGTAGTGTACAAATTCTTTAACGACTTAACATAATCCATTTAATACCCCCATACTTGAGTTTGACAGTTGAAATACATTTTTTTAACGTAGAAAACAGCGTTGTGTTTCAGATCGTACGACCATGCGGCGCTAAAAGTGCCTTATTAAACGACGCGAGTGTTGAGATAAAGCTCCTAAGAATGCCAAGACAACGATTAAAAAAGTTATTAGGTCTGACCTGGTATCAACTACTAATACATGACGGTATGTAATGAAATGATTTTACACTCCGCCCCCGGCCGCCGGGCGCTGCCCCCGCCGCCTTCGTCGACGGCGCCGCCACCAGCCGCACGTCCGTGAAGCCGTTGTTGTCGCAGCCGCGCTCTGGGGACAAAGGAAGCCCGTGCGGATGCCCTTACAACGGCCGAAGAACGTTTACATGGACGTGGACAGCGCTGCTCCAGCTGCGCTTGGTGGGCAGCTGGGGTGCGCGGCGGGCGGGCTGTTGGAATGAGGTCGCTTGTGGAAGGGTCAAAAACAATTAGACAAAATTAAAGTGACAATGGAGTATGTGAATGTGAAGCAGATTTAGATTCCTGAAAGCATCTGATGTGTTTCAATGCGAAATGATAACAATAATAATATTAATGATAATAATGATAATGATAATGATGATGATGATGATGGTGATGAGGAATACTGCTTGTAAGCTTCTACAAATAGGGAACACTATTGTTAGGGGTAAGTATTATATTGACGGGGTGTTTTGCTAATATGTCAATAAACACATTTTCTATCCTTGCAGTGCTTAACGAATACCACACATATATAATTGCGAGGCTGAAGGCTGACGAAAGAGCTTCGTAATTAAAATAATTACTTTCCATGATTGATTATTTATGTTTAATTTAGTTCTCGAAAAATATTCGAATTTTCCTTCGAAGCTTGAAATGGTATTTTCTGGTGATGTTTCAAGATGCAGTACTAGTGAAGAAAATATCATTAACTAGGGCAATAGCTGGTGTAAGAAATTGAATTACGCACATAATTAACAATGCAAGAAGATACAATGTACAATCCGCTTTTTTTTAAAAATTTTTCTTGAGAGTGTTATTTTAAACGTTGCGTAGTATTTATTTTCTTTTACGTAGTCGCGACTCTCAAAATTTAACTGCTACCGGGAAATGATTTGTGGGGCAGCGGTGTTTCCGCAGGCTCCTCAAGTAGCTACGTTCACGTGCCGATCACGCGACGCAGGCGCCTCTCCGCCTCGCGGCCGCCCCACATTCCGCGACGCTTCCGCCGCCGCCGCCGCCACCGATCGGCGTCCCGCCCCGCCCCGCCCCGCCCGATCGCAGATCGCCGAGCTCCACTGACCTCGGGGCAGCGCTATTCTCGGAGCGAGCGGTGCTATTGGTGCTGCGTGCAAGACGGCCGAGCCGCATACGATATTATCCCCCATCCGCGTGTGCGTCCTGTTTTTTTAATTTTTTTTTCTCTCTCCCCATGAGCGTTTTCTTTGTACCACATGCGCCGTTGTGAGCCGTGAGCGAGATGAAGCGTAATTTAATTCTCTAGGCGAAGGTCACGTGTAATGCCGAGGTCGACGACCGCTCCCCTATCTCGCGTTCGGAACCGGAGCTGTTCGGAATTGAGATCGATCGGAGGTGGAGGCGGAGAGCGATTGTCAAGTGGTGATCGCCGCTTCGGAACGCAGCGTTTCCAGCCATTGGAATGCGCATTCTAATGCAAATTTTTAGAAATGAAATTGTGGATGGGGGCAGTGCTGCACATGTGAAACTTACTGATTTACCTACCACACACCCGATTTCTAAATCCTTAATGAAAACATGAAAAAGGGTAGCTTTGTATCAAATTAATGGAATTGTTGTTCTTTCTCTTCATTGTCTAATTGTACATGTTAACTTGCATGCAATTGTAAACAACAAGGGCAAACTGATGCTAAATTGTCCAAAATGTGCGCTGTGATAAACGCGTGAGTTGTTTTAGTATATTGTCATTAGAAAATGCAAATTTGACTCTGTGAAAGTAGAAAGGAATTTCGAATGGACGAGACCACCTTCAACAAATGCCGTTTTCAACCTTTCGTCAGAAAAAGTTTCTAATGACGGAATTACTCATTGAATCTACAATTTACGAGATTGCTAGTGGAACACAATACTTGAAGAAAATTACCTGTTACCTTGTGCTCCCCCACCAATGGCGTGACCACAGAGCATGGAAACTGGGTTATTCGACACTTGGTATCAGGGTTTGGATGCAAATATTCAAGGTTTTGTTTTTCATCTAACTGTTTTTAACGCTCAATTTAACGTTCAGTGACTCTCGTGAAAAGAGCCAAGTTTTTAATTGTAGGAGACTGAATGGCTGTTGGGTTTTATACAGGGCGATTCATTTTCCTATTGAAGATTTCGATCGTGTTAAATTGGATTCGGGGCTTACAATACGCCACCTGTAAACGGATATCGAGGAATGGCTGTGTTCTCGTTTACTTTCACGGTCATTGTAAACGGTACGTTCAAGTTTCAGTTAAAAGTCCATACATGTGCCCTGACGTGTGCGTGAATGTTTTCATTGCGATTGGCCCTGAAAGAGGCCGGTGTAGAGCACGGGGGGTAGAGTCCCTAGATACAGAGAGTAAGTGTCCTTTCACCCAATACCCCCGCCAAGCAGCATTCAGAAATTGAAACTATTGAGAGGATTGCAATTTTGAATAAATAAATGGTTTTTAATAGATTGGTGGATTTCAACACAGAGTTTGAACTTCGATAACCAGGGCTGGACTTCAAGAAACTAAGCCATCAACAGAGTGGGATTCCTCATTTGAGTTATTGAAAGAAAAGAAAAGAAAAACAAGAAAACAACAACAAAAACCGTAATCATTTTTTAAATTTAAAGTAATACTTTTAATTGTTTAAAAATGTCCTCATAATTATTATTCCAGCAATCCAAATATTTAAAATCTGAATTATATAAAGTTACAAATCTGTTTATCTAGTAAAATAGTTGCAATTTTTTTTCCATATTTATGAACTAAAAGTGTTTTAAAATTGCACTGGGGCCCCTGTCTAGTGTGGCTGGGGCCCTCCCCTCCTTGAGACGCGGAGAGTGCGGCGCGCGGGGGCGCGGTCTTACCGAGGCTGTCGACGAGCACCCATCCGTCGTCGGCGTCGACGGCGCTGAGGGCGTGGGCGGGCGGCGCGTCGCCCTCGGGCGGGCAGCGGGGCTCGGCGGCCGCGGCGCCGCCGCCCAGCAGGTAGCTGGCCAGGCTGCTCAGCATGTCGGCGGCAGCAGCAGGAGCTCGGGCGGAAGTGGAAGAAGAGAAGAGGGGGACCTGCGCAGCGAGACCCCAACGCCCGACGTTAGCGCGCGCCGGTTCGCCCGGGCGGAAAGCGCGTGGCGCGCGCCCGGTTAACGCGCAGGCGCGGAGCCTGTCTCGCCCGCGTGATCTCGGGGCTGGCGTAGAACAGGAAATTACGGTTTACGAGTGATAAAAATATATTTGAAAGGTGGGCAATTAATATTTAGATAAAGCTTCGAGTGCTTGAGAAAACTTTAGCATTTTGAGAACCGCGTAGCATCGTTTGTTTTAATTGTTACACGACCCACGAAGTCTTGAATTGGAAGATGCATGATTTGCCCCCCCCCCTCGAATACATACGCGATTTCAGAACATCATGGGACGTGATTCGATAGCTTTCCGACTTAAACAAGAAATTTCTGATAAGCATTTGACCAACTCTGAGTGGTTCTGGTACCCGCGCACGATTTATCGAAGAGGAAACAAATGTTCCATTTCTCCACCGCTGCCTATTTTTGTTTCGGTGATAGGTTCGCACTAGCAATGAAGAGCAGCTCCGTAACCCCGTCTTCTTTCTCCGACGTTTATCCCTCGGTTCGTCGGGAAGCGCTGAAGCGCCGTGGCGGTTGGCGGCGTGCGTCGCAGGCGAGCGGGAGCTGGGCGCGGCCGGGCGCCGCCCGCTGCGACGCAGAAGCGCGCGCCGCCTGCCGCAGCGTGGGAGGGCGGGGCGACTCGACGCCCGGCGTACCTCAAGGTCCTCGCCCGTGCCGCGCCGCGCCGCGCCGTGGCCGAACGCGCAGCCGGCAATCAGCGCGCGCCCTGCGATAGCAATCGGGATTTGCGTTCTCTTTTAATGGCGATTATTGTTGGGTTAAGAGGCGAGAATGTCTTCCATGCGGGGGCGTTTTTGCAACACTGGAGCGCTGATGCTCTTGTTTTGAAGGAGGGAGGGGAATAGACGAAAGAAAGTCAGCAACTGCAATAACCACGACAAAGAGAATTATCGGCTTTTCTCTGCATAACAGAATTCACATTTCATCCAGCATTTGTATTTGTGATTAATCGAGATGCCAAGGGAATCGGGTTGTGAGGTTTCCACATATTGGCATTTGATATTATTCGTCGCATGTGGCGACTTAGTATTATAATGAACCGTTTAATGACACACAAGCCTTGGATATCGAAGGCCTTGGGATCGAGTGTTGCGACAGGGACTGCTGGAAGAAGTACTCCGTTATTAAGACAAATCATTGAAAATAGACCAGGTCACGGAAAGACAGTCGTGAAATTATAGTTGAGGTCACCTTCACCTAAGTGTGTGACTATCCACGTACAAATACCAACTCGGGATGACTATTTGCGCTGGGACCAACGGGTTATTTTGGTAGACAAGTTCGCGGTGTATTTAGAGTCGTGGATCGTCATAAGGCTCATAAAAGCTCCTCTCTCAGCTTAGTTGAACATATTCGGTAAGTAATGAAAGGTGTGTTAATTTCTTCGAAACTTCACCGCCGAGTTCTTCTGGGTGCACTCAGACTGTAGGTTAAAAGAGAAAAGAGCTACAGTGTCTCGTCACCCCTTCGTCTTTCGGTCCCTTCTCCAACCACTTTATCACGAGAGGATCCCCCTCTCATGTGGGCAGTCGGGTGAAGGCAGAGCCAGCCATTCGGGGTAGTGCGGGGCGCTCCCCTACCTCCTTTCGAAGAACTGAATGATGAAAGGGAGGGGCGTTGGTCAATGGAGGATTTGTAAGGCCTCCAGAGAGATGTAAAGTCCTCCGAGGTTGGGAGACGAAATCTGTCGTTCTCTTGTCCATCTCTCTCCTCCTCCCCCCCTCGAGTAGGATACCTCATCACATCCACCGCTAAGTAGCCTTCCCTACAATCCCGTGGCTCTGTGGATGGCCAGTTTAGTCGCATGCATAGCTGAGAGTTCGGGTGTACAGATAAAAAAAAAGTGCCCCGAAACATACCAATTCACTGGTTTTAATTAAATGTTTCATGTGATTTTTTTTTCTTAAATCACAGTATTTTATAATTTTAACATTGAAATGTGAAACACCACTGGAAAACACGAGAAGAAAGTTGTGAAGATAAGTTTACACCATATAATTGTTTCCTTGCTTAACGGATGTATGATATGAATGATCGATTGAGAAACGTGTCAGAAGGGATCATTAGATTCATACACCGGGAAAGATAAACAGTCTTTTCTTTTCTCCTCGTCAATTTGTGTTGCATTTGTCCAGTATTCGTTGCCTCGCTCTCGTCGTAAGAACGCATGACCTTGCGGCGTCAGTAAATACACTCGTTACTTCCTGCCCACGGAAGGTGTCTATGCAAAGTGATTTGGTTGCTGCGAGAGGAAAACGCGTGTACGACGCAGTAAAGAGAATTGCGGATGCTGCTTCGATGTCTTCATGTCTCTGTTATCTTTAACTTCCATTTTTTAAATGAAAGATCGAGGCGCTGTCAGCTTTCTTTCTTTAGGTTATAAAATGTCTGATGGCTGTAATTTAAGAGGCTGAGATCTTATCACGGGGTTTGTAAGTAACAGTTTTGGATCCGTGCTCGGTTCAAATTCAATTTTGTTTCATGAAAGTATGATATGTATACAATGAAGTATTGTTGCTCCTTTTCCCTTGGATAAATACCTTGGGCGAATTCAAAAGGCCAAGCAATAATCATAAACATATTTTAAAAGGAACTTCCGGTCTTAATAATCACATCAAAGTGATTGCGAGGACGATGTTATATCGAACCATTTTGAGGACGATGATGTCACGAATCCCAGGACACTATTAATGGTCATTTTGCATCACTAAATTATTTACCAAGTGGTGAATTGGGACACATTTGCTGTCTAATGAATGCGCCAGTGGTTAGAATCCGTAGTAATCTTCGTGAAAAAACAACAACAAAGGAATATAACAATTATTTGGAAGTATATTTAGTGAATGTGTTGGTTCCACGACGCCTTTGCAGAATCAATTTTTATCATTTCAAAATAGGAAAAAAAGAAATAAAAAAAAAAAAAAAAACATTGATTGATTCAACGCTTTAACGATGTGATAGAGGCATTGATTCGGGGGATAGATCAGAATTTCTCCTGGCGTTTTACGAAGTTTCTGCACGATCAAGAACGTGCTTAGGACCTAAGTTTCGAGTCTAAGATGAATATTTGTAAGAAGCGCAATATATATAATAATAATAATAATAATAATAATAATAATAATAATAATAATAATAATAATAATAATTCAAATAAAATATTCTCATGTAGCACTACATGAAATTTAATGTTAAAAAAAAAAAACTCCACGAATACTGAAATAACATCGTATAGTACAGGTTGTTTCAGTTGACACACAGTACAACGATTCTTTACAAACCAAGAATAACAACAAAGTTGCTAATCGATAACGCAACACATGAATAGCAAGTATTAAATAGCGGCGACCTCTTTTTTAAAGCCTTGTTGTCAGCTGATCATATATGTATATATATATATATAGTATATTAATTATGTATTATATATATATATATATATATATATATATATAATAATATATATAATCATTCGGCGGAAATATACTGCTCAATCAGATATTTCGCCGTTTCCAATACTGCAACTGTTTCGTTTGTTTTGGATTGTAAGAACTACTTTTGACGTGGTGCGGTAGGGCGGGCATAGTTTTCTTGCTAATTTCTTACGGGCTTGGTCAATATAAAATCGGGTTGGTGGGCAGGCATCCGAAATTAATTATAAAAAATTGCCAACGCGGAGGGCCAGTTGGGGGCGCGGGCGGCGCCATCTGGCGGAGGGTTCCGGGTCGCGCCCCGCGAAGGCCGGCGCTCCTTTCGCGCCCGCTTGCGCAACGCGGCGAGTGGAGGCGGCGACGGCGACGGCGGCGCAGTCGGAGACAAAGGGAGGGCGCGGGCGTGGCGGGGGTGACGTAACAGGGGGCGGTGGCTGCCATGTAGGGCTGCAGTGATTACGTGGATTACCGCGTAGTGGTTCAGCGGTGCTGAAACACTAGCAGGAAACAGGGTGGCGGGGGTGGACGCTGTTTTCCGCTGCTGTCAGATGTTGGCGGCCGGAGATGCAATGAATTTTGGGAGTGACCATCTCCCAGCGGCGCTTTGTTGAGCGTATTATGGCAGTGCGATACTTAGGAGGCAGTGGTGCTCAGCCTTTCAAAGATCTTCAAATCTTCTTTTGTGAAATCAGCATCCAGAGCATTCGATTGGAGATAAAATAGATTTGGAAACTTGTGAACTCTAATTTCGGAAACAGAACATGGCAGATTCGATGACTGTATTTATTGGGATTCAAAACATAGAAATGAGAGAAAATAGAGGGGGAGGAATTTTTTTAAAATGACACTTTGAAAACAGAACAGCACAGACTGGATGACGTGATCTATTGGGATTCAAAGTGTAAAAAAAATATATATAATAATAAAAATAAAAAAAATTAAAAAAGAAAAAAAAAGACACTTTGAAAACATCATAGACTGGGCGACTGCGAAGTATGGAATACAAATCGTAGAGATATAAAAAGTGACACTTCGAAAACAGAAGGGCACGGGCTGAATGGCTAGATGTATGGGACTCGTAGCGTAGAAATATGAGAAAAAAAGGAAGAAAAAAAAACAACAAAAAATCCTAATCAGAATGAGAATGGCGCGAGTCCTTGGACTCCACTTAGGGGCCCAGCGCGTGAAGGCAGAGGGCGCTAGCACGGGCGTTGTGGGGGAGCGAGGCGCCGCCTCGCCGTAAGCGGGCCACGGCCGCCGGGGTGGGCGCGGGCGAGCGCGGGCGAGCGCGGGCGCGTCCGCAGGTGCCGCGCGGGGTCAGAGGCAGCGGAGCGTGGCGCGGCGCGGCGCGGCGCGGAGTGGGCGGCCCCGCGACACGCGGGCGGAGGGAGGGAATCGACCGAACGAACACTCGCCTCGCGAGGGAGCTTCCGGCCAAACACCCGCACCGCGTTAGCCGCACGCTCAGCGGTTTGTCTCTCTTCCGAATGAGAAG